GGACTTTTTGTAATGTCTGTTTTATGTTTCATATTTTCATATTCATATTCTCAGAAATTATGTAAAATAGAAATCAGTGTAATTAATGATCCATGTAATTTTATTAAATGTTTACTTGATTTTTAGGTTTATTTATCACACATAAAAAAAAAGATTTAAGCCATTAAGAGATAAATAAGATAATAATTTATATTATATAATTTATTATATAAATATTGTATGTTTAAAAACAATTACATATGTTTTTCTTACTGTAATGCATATAGTATATGTATATTACAAATATCATTATATTAAAATGAATATACCAAATACATATTTTGTCAATAATTCTCAGTTTTACTTACAAGGATTCTCCAAGATTATAATTTAAATTCCTATTATTACTAAACACGTGTTATATCACAATATTCATTATGAAAACGATTGGTGTAATAATGAAATGAGCTAACTCTACAGAGCTTTGGAGACTGTAGACACTGACAAACAGTCATTTATTCATCCACCACAGGAGGGCAGAAAAAATCATCCACATGTCTCTGGAGTTCATCAGCAGCTTTTCATCTCTAATTAAACAGCGTGCTCTTTATAAGGGCTCTGTGATTAATATTCCCTCTCTCGCCTAAACACTGTAAATGCTGCTTTATTCCCAGAGTAAGAAAGACCTGGATTTGCTGCGGCATCATATTTCGTTTCCATCCGCCGTCTCTTGCATGTGAAATGAAGTTCATTAATAAGAAATAATGCATTATGAATATCACAGACGCCGCACGGGGTTGATGAAAATGGGCTTTATTTGTTTCTCTGCACTCTGCTGATATATATATATATATATATATGTGTGTGTGAAAAAGAAAAATTTTCAATTACAGAACTAAACTGAAAGGGGAAATAAGCTGCTTATGATTTATAGCCAGAGCGTTTGGGTCTGTGACTGAAGTCACAGCAGTGTTTCTTCGTTACGACTCTTTTGTGGACTTTCAGAAAACACACTTTTAAAACACACTTTCACTCTCTCACTTGATCCCTTCATTTGTCTATTAATAACATCCAGCAGCAGACAAATATGATCACATATGACCATTTTCTATTTTCTTAATTTCATAAAGTCATTTAACTTTCCATCACATCTTAAAGTCGGCATGAAATCAAAATTGAAAATTCTTATTTTTTTAATGGAATACTGTAGTGTGTATTATAAATAATGTATCCGTAATTAACCTCCCCTCCCCCTCAAAATGACTCATCTTCTCTTCCGGTCACGAGCTATGGTGCAAGGGCGGAGCTAGTGATGTAACAGGTAAACACTGGGATAAACAACAGGGGGAAAACCTGAAGCTGATGTTTCACTTTATATGATCATAAATCAATGACCAGTGCTTACACAAGCCATGGGGGGAGTACACTACCCTTAAAAATTTAAAGGATATTAGGAAAGTACCACAACATTACTCTAAGGACATGCAAACATTTTTTTATGAATATGACTTAACCTGATGGAGGACGCGTTCAGTCATTCAGGCAGACTCTCTCGCGCGCGCGTTGTTAGGCATGTTTTGTGCCGTTGATCGTCATGGTCTTCCTGAATAAATAAAACATTTCTTCATGCTAGGGTGTCCGCGGTGAATCCAGTGAGAAATCCCCCCACAACTAACTGCAAACCGGCATTCAGATCTGCCTCCATTTTGTTAGCAACGCCCCAACTTCCAACGATCCAATCAATTCCCGAAGGACGAAATCAAGTCCCGCCCTCTCATTTCAGATGCCGTTTCACTCGGTTAGACGTCACAGTAGAGAAAAAAAGACAATCGCTACTTCCGTTTCATGCAGACTTTAATTGATTAGTAGCCTAGCCTAACATTCTGTGATGGAAACGCATTTTACGGAGCAAATTAAATAATACTTTTTTTTTATTTCACACGTTTTGCATCATCTGTCAACAGCTTGACTGGATTATTTTTTTCCCCTTGTCGATGTCATATCAAGAGCTTCAACCACTCTGTTGTCTCCTTGATAACCAAATACACATTATTAAAAACTTTAATTAAAGGCAATTGTTTGTTGTAAAAAAAAATATGTCCAAAATATAGAATTGCTCTTGTCATAAATCCCCCGTCTTGTGTTGTGTCCTGTCTTTTAGTTTGTTCTCTTGATTTCCTGCTTCCTGTGCCAGTTTTGTAGTCTTATATCTTAGCTATTGTAAGATTAGAAATGTTTATTTTTTTCCTAAAAATCATGTTGTAATATATTTTGGTATATGAAGGTTGAAACTAAATATGTTTTCAATTTCAAAAATAAATTCCCTTGAACTTTACTGTTTAAAACATATTTTTTGGCTTGGATGGCTGTATGGAAATGATACTACAACTGATTTCTGAAGCAATTGGGTAAATTATTGTCGCACAAATATTGTGTAATATGTAGTAGATGATATCTTTAAGATGGATGGTGAAATAGATGTTTTGTTTTAATAAAATCAGCCCCTGGGACATGAGAGTGTCCGCAGTTGAAGAAACACATGAAGTCTCAGAGAGAGAAACTCCTGAACTCTTCTATCTGATTTCAAGTGTGAAATGTGTCTAATATTTCTGTCTGTCTACAGTTCGTATAAAGTGAAACGATCGGCCTATGTAAGAAACTGAACATTACTTACAACATTTTTACCTGTAATCCAGAGCCTCTGGCAACAATGTGGGAAGTACAAATATTTTCTGCAAACTGGTTCTTTCGGACAGTTCATTTCAATTAACTGATTCAAATAATAAATGTATCCGTTTGTCTGCATAATCACGCAATGATATGACGTACACTCAATTATATTATTAAAGCACCAAATAATGATGTGAAATGTGGATGTTTAACATGTCTAAAGCATATAAAGTGAATAAACTACACTGAAAAAAATGTTTCATTCATCCAATTAAAAAAATGTAGGGTAATGATTCTATATTTTTTAACTTGAGGCAATGAAAGTTGTCCTAAGGGTAGTTTTCATCAGCTCAAGTGCTCAGTTCACACATGTGCATATCAGCGGCTCATCGCTCTTCGGTCTGAGTTGAACTGTTTCCTCAGTTCAGTGAGTGTTCGAGGAACTGGAGTGCTGAATAACTTCAGTCATCATAGGATCAGATACACCACTATTTTGTCTCATTTCCAGTCGGAGTGACTGGATCGTCCAGCTCACTGAGTAAATTAATAGCAAATTATAATTTTTGAGTGAGAGGAATGTCCATGTGCTTTGGAACAATGCATTCTAACAATGCCAAGGTTGCAAGATAACAGAGAGGACAAGGAAAAGAAAGACAAAGACAAGTAATCTCAAATGAATTCTGTGCAACCCTAGTTTATCATGTGATCATGCACGGGACAACTGAGAGAAGCTGAGAACTAGTGCAACCCAACCTAGTTCCAACACTGTACGATTTTAGCCCCAATTTTCACTCGCCAACATTTTTGTGGAAGTCACCATCAAATGCCAGAAATCAGAGGCAAATCGGTGTTTGTAATGATGATTTTCCTCAGGGCCAGAAACAGCACACAGATTGGGGGTCAGAGGAGACAAGAGTGAAGCTGGACCAAACTTTGCATGGGCCAACTTCTGCTTCTACTTCTTTGGGCAGTTATGCAATTCCCAGAACTTCAATAAATAAATGTAGAAGCAATAACTGTAAAGACATAAGGAGTCAATGTTTTCATGATTTAATTTAAAGCATGTCCAACTGGAATAAAATGATTCTTCAGAATGGGTAGAACAGAAGAAATATGACTTCAGATAATGACCATACGGTAAGTGCTTTAACTGGAAAAGTTCCAGAGAAAATCGAACATGCCGTACAAATGCTGAGTTAATATACAAATCCAGTATAAAAAATAACATACAGACACAAACAATTATATGAACATAAAGTAATACCACAGATATTGCACAAATGCTCAAGTGGCATTTTCCTGCTTTTCACATCCACCTGATGTTAAAGGAACAGTTCACAGCAGTACACTTCATATACACTTCAGCAATACACCCCAATTTAAGCTGTTGCACACTAAAAATCTTCCTCCCTGGTTTAAAAAGGATTTAAATTTGGCTTGTTTCTCAAAACATGACTTAATTAATATTTTTATGGCGTTTTGGTCCTCTTTGAAGCTTGACAGCTCCAGGTCATTGTCTGCTTTCACTGTATGAAAAAGAGCAGCGTGAACATTGTGCTAAACATCTCCTTTTGTGATCCACAAATGAAAGAAAGTCATACAAGCTTGTAAAGATATGAGGGTTGACAACCAATCATTTTTCTGAACTAGCCCTTTAATTTTTTAACCCACTATATATATTCTCTTGCTCTTTTGTTATATAAACAGACAAATAAATGTAATCTTCTGTACAAATACATGAATGAATACACATGAAGTGTGTAATATACATTATACTGTTGTAAATTAAGCTACATCACAAGAGAGGTTTTGGTTCGGTTGGGATCATTTTCACTGGACATGTGTTTGTTTGACTTGCACTATTTAAATTCATTGGGGGAAAAGGCGAGTTCTCAATTTATGAAAACTTCAGGCCAACATCTTAAGTTATGAATCTTAAGATTATACTGATTTCACTGCTTAAAGCATCTACATAGTATAGTCACGAACACACAAAAAACATCTTTAAAGTTACTTAATTACTAAAGTAATTAATAAAATATATTTTGTCACTCAATGAAGACAAAGTTATGCAAAAGTATCTAAGTGCCGTCTGAAATGTTCATCTAAAATAAGCATTTTTATAAGGCTCCTATGCTTAGGTTCAGTACTTTTACTCTAATGGTAATGCTTAGGTCCTTTTCTTTACAATTAAAGTGAAATAACTGAACATAAATATAGGAGCCTGATAAAAATGCTCATTTTAGAAGAAAATTTCAGACGGCACTTAAATTCTTCATATA